AAATTTTAAGTCGTTCAGGTGAAGTAGCCATTATAAAATTGATATTAGTGACGCAGTAAAATTGAAAAGTGATTGGCAATGACGTCAAAAAGAGGCTATTATAGAGCCATACTAACGCATATCCACATTATCATATCGCGTTGCAGCAAAGTGCCTCCTATTTAGCTGATCAATGGGCTGCTGCTAGCGTCTTCCATCATTCTCCGTTCATCGACACCGCGAAATTTCATAAAAACCGTTACCTAACCCAATACAACCCCGACATCGAACACTCCCCAAGCAACACCTGCAATCCTTCACCACCGTACCTTTATTAATAGCACGACGAGATAATTGCCCCCGCCATCACATGATAAATTACCTGTGTTCCACTCGGGTTAGTCTCTGCTTGATTTTCGCTTGACTGGCTGAAAATTCACCCATCAACCGAGCCAATCTCATCTGTAAGTTTTCCACCGAAGCCTCCAGCCTACGAATGCTATCGGTAACCGTTTCTTGTGTTTCACGAGCTCTTTGTAGGGCGTCTTCGTCTAAAAGACCGTCCTTCCTTAGTAGCTGACAACCTCGTTCGATCAATGTGTTCTTAGCCTAAAATATAACCCGAAAAGTAAACATCATTATCGGATTTTCGCCGAACGAGAATAAATTAGATTTTAACAATTTAAAAACCTATAAGCTTCTTTGAAACAATATACGTATACTGTTACTGAAATGATTACAAAATGTGGTTAAAATGGTTCGGTTACAATTTAATTAATTTATACTAGATTGTATAATTGTATTACATTCCGGTTATTGCAATAAATTTGATTTCATGTTATATTATTTTTAGTTTAAATTTGTGGAAATGTAGTGGTTAATTAATTAAATTCTAATAAAAAAAAGTTTTTATATGGTGTGCGGAGAAAATGTTGACTTGATTTCGGAATCGAATAAAAACCAAACTTAATAAGGGAATAAATATTTTTAAATCAAAATATAAATATTATTATTTTTAATTGGTGTGTTGTAAAAATCATATTGGTACTGTAATTCAGTTTATACTTACTGCTGTCTTTACATCTTAAAATATTGTGGCTGATGTTAATAGTTATTTATATTACAGGTGGGCTAGAAACATAATTACAGTACGAGTGTGGAGAATTGCACGACGAGGTCGTAGACCGAGTCGTGTAATGACACAAGTACTGTAATTATGCTCTAGCTCACGTGTGATATACAGTATTTTATCTACAATGTTTACTCATCTGGAATAAGTGTTTTGAAATGTAAAAACATAACAAATAATGTTTATAATAAATAGTATTGTTGCTCTGTAAGTAGATAGCCCTTTTTCTTTTGTATTGTTGATCGTTTCAAAGTTTGTTCTGATTAGGTTAAAAATGCGTTACGTAATGAAACCAGTGCGGTAATGAACTTCATTACGTAACTGAAATCACCTCAAATGAGTGCGATAATGATGACTTATCCAAGCAGTCGTTGATAAAATTACTTACTACACCTAATTCAATTTTAACATCATAGATACGTTCTATGTTTACATACATAGAATGTATGTAAAAAAATATTAATAATTACTTATTTCACGGTTTTTTGCAACTCCATATTAGGTCCTACAATGGCAAATTAGAAGTGGGAGTGGGTGGAAATAAATTCTGTAGAAGATGTTTTACAACTAACATTTGAATTTATATCGACATCCGCCTTTCTTGAAGTAGTAAATAATTGTAAAGATGAATATAAATTCTTCAACTACTTTTTGGATATAAGAAACGATGGATTTAACCTTCGAGCGGGCGCGTGTCTTAAATTTTATGACATCAGGCCGTTAGAAACAAAGAAAACAATATTTATTTGGACTTATATAAAAATAATAACAAATACGAAAAGAAATACATATACAGGTTGTCCCGAAACTCAACGTCAAGCGGGCACCGGATAAGAGGCCAACACATACCTGTTCTGGTAAAAATAAGAAAAAAATTCGATGTCTCTTAGTTAAGTGGTTATAGACATATTTTTGAAAATGTTAAAAATCGTTCCCGTACATCATATCTTTAGGTACTACGGTCAGAACTGTTGGCAATTTAATAGTGATTTTTATAATAATGTATTCCTCATGAATCATGCTACTATAGCAGTCACAAATCGAACAACAAAAGTCGTTAGTTTTGCAAGAAAAAGTATTAGTTTGATTGAGTTAAGGTTGAAAGAATTTATGTCTATTAAGTTTGACACACGATTTCTAAACAAAGGACTAGTACAACACCCTTGGCAAGTTATTTTAAAAGATGGCCTGTTTAGTCAAGATTCCAAAATGGTATAACACTTACCATTTTTCTTTTCCTAAAAAATATTATTGCCTGTTTTTCTGCCAAAAACGCGTTATTTAAAAAATTCATACTTTCGTATGTTATTTGTATTTCCTCCAAAATGATTTAACAACTTTGTTAGAAGATGTGCCACTCAATATCTACAGAGAAATGTGGTTTCAACAAGATGGTTGCCCAGCTCATTATGCTTGTCCTGTACGGGATTGCATACAGAATACCCAGAAAGATGGATTGGGCGTCGTGGTTCGATTACGTGGCCTCCTCATTCTCTGGGTCTAAATCCCCTTGATTTTCTTATTAGGATTGCATAAAAGAAACAGTGTATTAAAAACCGATTGAAAATCTTGCCGAACTGCGCCACAATATTTATACAGCAGCAGAAGAAATAAATGCAAAGAGATTTGCACAACTAGTAAAAAGATCTTTTCTGTGACGATGCAGAGCTGGTATTAGTGCCGACGGCAAATCATTTGCCTTAGTTTTAAGAAAATAATGCTATAAAATTAATAATAAATAAATTTGTTTGTTTAATTTTGTCTTTAGGTTAATCTTATTTGAAAGAGAATTTTTGCAAGACATAAGGGCAACCATTTTGTTGAAACCACATTTTGTAGTCCGTAGATATTGACGGGCACATCTTCTAACAAAGTTAAGAGGAAATAAAAGTAAATAAACAAATAACATACAAAAGTATGAATTTTTTAAATAACGTATTTTTTGCAGAAAAACAGGCAATAATATTTTCTATGACAAGAAAAATGGCAAGTATTGTACCATTTTGGAAACTTGTCTAAACAGGCCATCTTTTAAAATTACTTGCCAAGGGTGTTGTATTACTCCTTCGAATTGTATAAACCCTGTATAAAACAAATATAAAAAAAATGAGTCCAAAAGGGCTATAGACCTTAGTCTTCCTGCCGACCCGTGCTTATGATTTATATATTTTTTAATTTTAACAACAAATTCTTTAAGTACTCCGCCACACCTAATTTTTTGTAGGTACTGCACTGTAGCGCGTTGTTGTACTGTAATAATGGCTCCTAAACGAAAATTGGTAGTTTTAACAGTGGAAAAAAATTTGAAATTATTAAAAGACGTGAACATGGTGAAAGTGTTAGTTTGCTGGCTAACGAATATGGAGAAACCGTACGTGATTTAGTGAAATAGCAGCCCAAATTGGAAAAATTCGTTTCTATGTGTGAAACATCAGCTGGCCCTACACACAGGAAAACAATGAAAGATGCGAAGAGTGAGCAATTAGAAAATGTAATGATGAAGTGGTTTTTCAACAGAGAGCATTAGGAGAGTCGATGTTCGGTCCGTGTGTTAGCACGAGCACCATACATTGCAGAAAAGTTACAAATCACCGATAGACTTACACTTTCAACAGATTGGTTGCGACGTTTTAAAGAAAGGCATGGAATTAGAGAATAATTGCAAATTCAAGAAGAACAGCTTAGTGCTGACAATGTTAGGCCTACAATTTTTTGTGACTCGTTATCAAACATTATTAAAGAGAGGGGTTTAGTATCTGCCTAAATATACAATGCTGATGAGACCAGGCTCTATAGGTACAGTGCCCACTCGTACATTAGCATCTGCTAAAGAAAAAACTGCTCCTGGCTAAAAAATTAGTAAAGATCGGATTACAGTGTTATGTTGCTCAAATGCTAGTGGAGAATATAAGCTGAAATTAGCTATAGTAGGAAAGCCAAGAGCTTTAAAAGACATAAAAGAACTCCCAGTCGGATACTATAACAACCGTTCTGCGTGGATGACACGAGACATTTTTGAAATGTGGCTTAAAAGCAAATTTGTTCCACACGTAAAAAAATATATGGACTGCAAAAGTCTCCCTCAAAATGAAATATTGCTTCTTGATAATGCTCCATCTCATCCGCCAGTTGAAGCGTTGTCAGTCAAATGCGACCTATGGATCAGGGCGTAATTGCAACAAATGAAGAAGATAACAATGCTCCTTTACAGTTTTGGAAGTCAATTACGCTTCGAGATGCTGTATACAACATATCCTATACCTGGGAAAATGTGAAAGCTACCAAAAATACCAATTGAAAAATTTTTTAACAATATTTTATGCGATGAAACAGCTGAAGAACATGAAATTGATGAACCTTTAGATGTGTTTCAGCCGTTAAAGAATGTTTAGGGCTGTGAAGAAATGGATGACGAAAATATTCTGGAGTGGCTAAATATTGACTCGGATGTTTTGGACTGTGAACACATGGCCGACGATGATCTAGTCGATAGTGTCACCAAACCAATCTCTAAACCGAGTTCATTCCAAGAATGTAGCGACGATGATGTAGAAGATGACACCTTAGAACTGTTATGATAGCTTTAAGTTGGTAGCACTGTAATTAGTTTTAGTATGAAAATGGCGCTAGTCGTAAAGCGGCAAAAACTACTCTGTAGAGAATAATAACTGTGTTGACTGAAGAATCAAATCAATAAAGATTAGTAATAAAAACAAGAGTATATTAATGTCCTTGGTGGAAATAACAACATAACATGGTGTCAGG